CCATGGAGTTGTTTTCCTCATAGCCTTCTCCCCATTCATCTTCTTCTTCTTCATACCATCTCTTGTAGTTTGAGGGGATTTTGTTGTGGTCTGGTGGTTCAGGCTCAGGTTCTCCTCTGCCTAGATCATGACCATACTCAATTTCGTCCTCATGCCATGGTGGGAATTCATAGCCAGCCTCCTCTTCGAAAAAGGCATGGCTCTCTTCTTCTTGACTCCATGGGTCATTGATGGGTTGATAAGGGCTCTCCTCATCTGAATACTCCATTGATACTTCTGCTTTTTCTTCAATTATTCCTAGAAAATAAGATCAAAAAGAACGTATCAAATATGTAGAAGGAAACAAAAAGAAATTCTTTTTATGTGTTTTTTTTATTTAATAAACACAAGAACAAACAATTTATCAGATATCGACCAGTTGAGGAAAAATGATTGTAAAAATTATCAAATGGATCGAAAATTCAAAAGGAATATTTTTTTGTGGTTTTTAAGAGTTTAAATAAACAGAAACAAGAAACAAAATATTTTTTTGAGTTTTTCTGAATTTTATAAAAATCGAACAAAATGAAGAAGACAGAATTAAGCGGTTTTGACCAATTGAATTGAAAAATCAAAACAAATTATCAAACGATTCGAATAATTTTGGGAAACAGTTTTTTTTTTGTTTTTAAGAGATTAAATAAATCGAAACAAAAATCAAAAACAGTTTCTATGGATTTTTGGATTTTAGAAAATTCGGGAAATGAAGAACACAAAACAGGAAAATATTCTTTTGGGTTTTCTTGGTTTAATGAAAAACAATATGAAACGAAATGAAACAAAAACAGAGATAAGGGTGAGAATACACCTGGGATAGGAGCTTTTAGCTCTGATACCAATGATGCAATACTTGAAATGTGGTTCAAGTAAAATTTCTTTGAATCTTTGCTTCTAGCTTAAGGGGATGGAAGGATGACTTGAATGATGGAAAGTCAGGTTGAGCTTGATGACCACAAACTCCAAAGGTTAGATTCTGCTATCTCAAGGGCTAATCCACGCAAGAGTATAGGAGATTCTACACAAATCTTCAAAGCTGATTCCACAACACTTAGAAGAAAAGCAGGAACAAGTTTAGTTGCAAAGAATTTTCTTTATAAACAAAACAAATGGGGTTTTAATTTCTTTAATAATTCTGAATATGAAATACACTGGAAATGAGCTTATATATTGCTCAGAAATAAGGTAGAAAAACGGTAACAAAAAGAATTAAAGATAAAGCATAAAATGTGATCAAAGTAGCTTAAGTGATGGGATTTTGGGTCTTCTAGCCAGTGTCATAATTGGGGAATGAGAGCTTGATTTGTGGTGACGAAATGTAAGGATTCTTTGACTGGTTTTGACGCTCAGGATGTGATGAAGTGAATGGATGGTCGAGATCTTCAAGTGATAAGAGATTCTGGTCTTGCTTTCCAAAGGTAGCAAAGTAATCAAGCTCTTTTAAGGCAAGTAGCTTCTTCTTGGTTTCTTCTTGGATTTGGGACGGTTTCTGCTGGTTATTGGCGTGGTTTAGTAATCCTGAATATCTTGAATTACTCCTTGGTGGTTGAAAGAAGTGGTGAGGCGAATATAATGTCATGAAATCCCTTCTCTCCTTAGTTAGCTCCAATGTGGCTCCATTTGGTGGTTTAAGGCAATTTGGTGGTTTTCTTTGGTTAAGTGACGACTTGTATTGAACCAGGGATAATTTAAAAGGCTTCTTTTGATGATCAGAATGGTGGTGTTTTGATATATACTCCTCAGCTTCTTCAAACACAGCTACAAAGCCTCCAAGGTCCTCAGCTACAAGCTTAGCATCATCTGGTTTAGATCCAATGCTCCATCTCTTGACTGGTTCAGTTGTATATGACTTGATGCTTACATCATACTCTCCATCTTGAAGAGGTTTTGTCCTGAAAACAATAGCATCTGCACCAAGTAAAGCTAAGTTAGTTTCTGAAAAAAAATTAGAGTTTAGAAACTTACCTTGGTGATTGTTTTCTAAATGCTGCAAGAGTTGATTGAATGGGATGTTTTTGGCTTCAGTGAGCGCCAGTGTTGATCTCAGCTTAAGTGTTGGTGGTTTTTCTGCCTTGTGCTCGACGTACTCATGCTGCTGTACCACGTTTTTGGTCCCTTGCTCTTGCTCTTTTAGGGTATTGGCTTGTAGAGCATGGTTTGTTGCTTTGTAGTTGAAGAAACTCCTTGGGCAAAGTTGAGGGACTTTTGGTACCAAATATTTTGGTGCATACTTATCCCTTAGTAATGCTTTGAGATCTTCCCAGGTGGTTATGGTTGGCTCCTTGTAGAACCAGCAATCATCTTGTTCTTGTAACCACCAGTTATAGACATCTCCAACAAGTTGGCCAATTGCATAAGCTAATCTCTCCTCTTTTAGGATGTTGTTGTAGTAGAACCACTCATCTATGTTTCTTTCCCACTCTAAATAGTTTTCTGTGCCTGAAAATGCATAGAGTTGAAGTTTATTAGCAGATTGATAATCAAAATCAAAATAAACTTGAGAATTGAGAGAATTAGAGGTTTTAGGTGGGTTGCTCCTTGTTGAACTCCATAAGTTGTCTGTCTGCTTAGGATGCTGCTCTTCAGGCCTACATCTTCCTCATATCCTCCTTGTGATTCGTCATCTTCAGTTATGTACTCTTCCATGGAGTTGTTTTCCTCATAGCCTTCTCCCCATTCATCTTCTTCTTCTTCATATCATCTCTTGTAGTTTGAGGGGATTTTGTTGTGGTCTGGTGGTTCAGGCTCAGGTTCTCCTCTGCCTAGATCATGACCATACTCAATTTCGTCCTCATGCCATGGTGGGAATTCATAGCCAGCCTCCTCTTCGAAAAAGGCATGGCTCTCTTCTTCTTGACTCCATGGGTCATTGATGGTTTGATAAGGGCTCTCCTCATCTGAATACTCCATTGATACTTCTGCTTTTTCTTCAATTATTCCTAGAAAATAAGATCAAAAAGAATGTATCAAATATGTAGAAGGAAAAAAAAGAAATTCTTTTTATGTGGTTTTTTTTTATTTAATAAACACAAGAACAAGCAATTAATCAGATTTCGACCAGTTGAGGAAAAATGATTGTAAAAATTATCAAATGGATCGAAAATTCAAAAGGAATATTTTTTTGTGGTTTTTAAGAGTTTAAATAAACAGAAACAAGAAACAAAATATTTTTTTGAGTTTTTCTGAATTTTATAAAAATCGAACAAAATGAAAAAGACAGAATTAAGCGGTTTTGACCAATTGAATTGAAAAATCAAAACAAATTATCAAACGATTCGAATAATTTTGGGAAACAGTTTTTTTTTGTTTTTAAGAGATTAAATAAATCGAAACAAAAATCAAAAACAGTTTTTATGGATTTTTGGATTTTATAAAATTTGGGAAATGAAGAACACAAAACAGGAAAAAATTCTTTTGGGTTTTCTTGGTTTAATGAAAAACAATATGAAACGAAATGAAACAAAAACAGAGATAAGGGTGAGAATACACCTGGGATAGGAGCTTTTAGCTCTGATACCAATGATGCAATACTTGAAATGTGGTACAAGTAAAACTTCTTTGAATCTTTGCTTCTAGCTTAAGGGGATGGAAGGATGACTTGAATGATGGAAAGTCAGGTTGAGCTTGATGACCACAAACTCCAAAGGTTAGATTCAGCTATCTCAAGGGCTAATCCACGCAAGAGTATAGGAGATTCTACACAAATCTTCAAGGCTGATTCCACAACACTTAGAAGAAAAGCAGGAACAAGTTTAGTGGCAAAGAATTTTCTTTGTAAACAAAACAAATGGGGTTTTAATTTCTTTAATAATTCTGAATATGAAATACACTGGAAATGAGCTTATATATTGCTCAGAAATAAGGTAGAAAAACGGTAACAAAGAGAATTAAAGATAAAGCATAAAATGTGATCAAAGTAGCTTAAGTGATGGGATTTTGGGTCTTCTAGCCATTGTCATAATGGGGGAATGAGAGCTTGATTTGTGGTGACGAAATGTAAGGATTCTTTGACTGGTTTTGACGCTCAGGATGTGATGAAGTGAATGGATGGTCGAGATCTTCAAGTGATAAGAGATTCTGGTCTTGCTTTCCAAAGGTAGCAAAGTAATCAAACTCTTTTAAGGCAAGTAGCTTCTTCTTGGTTTCTTCTTGGATTTGGGACGGTTTCTGCTGGTTATTGGTGTGGTTTAGTAATCCTGAATATCTTGAAATACTCCTTGGTGGTTGAATGAAGTGGTGAGGCGAATATAATGTCATGAAATCCCTTCTTTCCTTAGTTAGCTCCAATGTGGCTCCATTTGGTGGTTTAAGGCAATTTGGTGGCTCTCTTTGGTTAAGTGACGACTTGTATTGAACCAGGGATGATTTAGAAGGCTCCTTTTGATGATCAGAATGGTGGTGTTTTGATATATACTCCTCAGCTTCTTCAAACACAGCTACAAAGCCTCCAAGCTCCTCAGCTACAAGCTTAGCATCATCTGGTTTAGCTCCAATGCTCCATCTCTTGACTGGTTCAGTTGTATATGACTTGATGCTTACATCATAAAAGAAGCATTGTGATTTCCTTGTTTTAAGGACTTTAACGTCTCATTGCGGAAGCAGAAGTTCTTCCATTCCATTCACTTCTAGGACATGGGTTAGAGAGGGGGGAATATAGTAAATAAATAAAGTAGAATTGCAGTTCCTATTTCTCAGTTCAGATTAGAGCACCATCTGTTACGCTGACAACCCCCGTTACGCCGCGCTTGAACTCCTAGCCCTAAGACGGAGTAGTCTTAGTAGCAGTAGGATTACCGGATTCCGCTTTCTGTCTTTCTTTCTTACTTTCCCTAAGCACTCATTGTATTTTAATTTGACTCGCTCAGAAGAGCTATGTATCAGGTCTTGGGAGTCAAATAAGGGCATGGCTTAAACCAGCTCCCTAGCCTAGGGTGAGGTCTCATAATAGAGTAAAGTAGGACAGAAGGATTAGCTTAGCAGTGAACAAAAATCATTCAATCAGCTCAAGAGCTGGGAGTTCTCCTTCTAGGTTTCGGAATAGAAGGAAGGAGGCTCTGAGGAGGTAAGTCCTGCTTGATTGCTTTCACCAGGTTTATAAAGACTGGTTCGAAAGGACCAGGTCGGGATAGGCTGGGAGTCGATTAGCCCGAGTTGTGTTAAGATAAGTGGCACTTGAATTTGAAGTAGACATCGGCCAGGTCTTGGATGCTGAATTATTGGTCTTACCACTTGTATCGATAGACCCACTTGAATTGAATGCTGAGGAGATTTATTTTCAATCCAATCCTACCTGATCTTCGAACATTCTCTCTGCAAAAGGCTTCTGGCAAAGCTTGAACATCTGTATCGTTAGCTCCTTTTAAAAAGGAAGACAGAAGAGCTGGTAGGACGGACTGGTAAGGAATTCAATTACTTATTACTTATGAGTGGAGGGCTTCGCTTTTTTCTATAACTGTCACTGGAACAGAAGGCCTAGTACTCGAATTGGCTTAAGTGCACTCCCAATGATATTATAGTCTTCTTTCTTAATAAAATATTGATATTATCGTGGAAAGAAATCTATCTCTTGAAGGTAGTCCAACATAATTCAGTTTGATCCCAGGAGATGGTATGGAATGCTCATATAGAACCCTGTCCAATAGAACTCAAACCGCTGGGAATGCAACGGGATGGATGTCAACTGGTAAAAGAGTAGCATTGGTCTGGAGATCTTTACAATAGGAGATCAGGAGTTAGCTCGCTTGGACGGAGAGCACGAGAAAGAAGGGGCAGTCAAACTGAACTCCACTCGTTTAGAAGAAGCCTCACCAGTCAGGGGGATAAGGCAAATTTCTTCACAGCATGAAGAAAAGAGAGGGATTCAAAAAGGGCTGGCTCCTTAGAAGGGATTTGAGTGCTTTAGACTAAGAAGTGAGATTAGATAGGCTTGTCTTAGGATTTGATGCACATTTAAGGGCAACTACTGCTTATGGGTAGTCCGTTTTTCCAATTTTCATTTAATAGACCAGTTTGAGATCTTCGTTTGGGATCTCTTCTAGGGAATGATGTACAAGTAATAAAGGCTACAATGGCTGTAACAGATTAAGAGATTGCATTTGCCCTTGGATACACACCGCACATCTCTCTCTAAAGCTCTCAAAAAGAATAAGATAAAAGATATATGCCAAAGAATGGCTGAAAACCTAATATAAATAAGCTAAAACACGAGCTGGGGCCTTTTGGCAAATACTAGAACTTCTGGGCCAAAACTGCAGTTTCCTCCCAATCTTTTGAAAACAAGCCACGATCCTTCCTCTACGGGTGACGAGCATCACCAGATCAGTGACGGTCGTCACCCAAACCAGAACAACGCTTCTGACTTGCTTCATTCGGAGTTGTATCTTGCAATGCTCCAAAAAGCTCCAAAACTTCCAATTATGCTCCAAACATGCTTTCACCTGCAAAGACTCTAGTAGACTAAAAAAGACCAAAAAGACTCAATAAAAAGGATTTATATCATGGTTAAAAATCATAAAAACCATCAGATAGAGAACAGGATCGAGGTTTCAAAACAGAGGCAGTCAGCTAAACATCAGGAACACCACATTGATTAACACTTTCGAATCCCGATACCACAGAGCCAACACAAGATCAAATTTCAATCTAATCATCACAAGCTTAGCAAATCTCTTAAATCCAATCCAAATCCCTTCAAGAAATCCAAAATATCTACTGTTAACTACTTATATCTATCTATGTGTGATGTCTCATCAAGGCTTAATCATCTCAATCACTTACAGATTCTTTTCCCTTCCTAAACACTGAACAAAGCAATCCTAACACAGCTCTCTTATTTTCTCTTCCCTAGATCTTTTCCTTTGGATATTTTCGATTTTTCAACTTCTTTTCTCATTTTTTTGTTTACAATCTAAGATATGGTGCTACTCAATACTTGTGTTCCTTGTGAGGAGACAGGTTCTTGAGTGTGCTCATTACTAATGTTCCTTGTTAGGAGACAGGGTCATGAATGCACCATTCTTTTGACTCAGACTCTAACTGCATCAGGGAAGATCAAAGAGAGACTGCATCTAAACATACTTGTCAGTGTTGAAAGAGAGAATCAAGATCAATGAGAATCAAGCCCGAAGATAAGAAGTTTAAAGTTCATTAAGGTGGAGTTAACAGAAAATTTTTCAGATTCTCTAAGAACTTAAACCTTCATTGCTAGACTGATTCACCTATGAATTTCAACTTAGAAAGACTTGTAATCAGCTATTGTGGCAATGGTTCTTAGAAGCATAAACGTTCTGTGGTTAGTTCCTTGAAAAACTGACAGTTTCAAAATTTTGACTCTATAAAAACAAGTTTTTGACTCAACTTTAAGAATCTAAAAACATGACACAAATCACACAACGTCAGTAACCACCTCCCCCAGACTTAAACAACATTGTCCCCAATGTTATCAAGCCAAGAGTTGGTCAAACAGAAGTATGTGAACGTGTAAAACCAAGGTCAAAAAGTGGTACCTCGCGAAGGGACGGGTGACGAGCGTCACCCCTCAGTGGTGACAAGTTTCACCATGTCTGAGACTCCAGAATCGACATGTTGGATGTGCTAATGGAATACTATCATGTGTACTCTGATGTCAGACAGTGGGTTGCCTCCCACTTAGCGTTTCTTTAAAGTTATTAGCTCGACTTTGAATGCTGCTCAGACAGCTGGTGGAGCAGAAGGTAGAATTGAATGCCTTATAGAAGAATGTCTCCTCATGCATGGTGGTGTGTAAGCAGTAGGCGCATGAACTCTCTCAAGGAATTGAGGAACATCAGCTCGGCAGGTTGTGAATGTGGGTGGGACACTTCGTTTTCCTGCAGGATCATCAAAAGAAACACCAAGCTTTCCACGAGAATCTCGTTGCTTGCGTAAGTGTGAAGCAGCTTTTGCGCCTTTTAAGTTCTTTTTGTTGAGATTAGGAAGTTTGGAATTGGTTCCAGAAAGTGCATATCTTTGCTTAGTTGCAGGTTTCTGATTTGTGGAATGTTAACTTTTTGGTTTGGCAACATAAGATGGACCTGTAGCTGAAAGATCATGTCGCTCTTTTGTGTCCAGGTTGATGATGAGCGTCACCAGGTCGGTGACGGTCGTCACTGACCATGTAGGTTGAGTTTCTGCAGTTTTAATGCAATCCAGCTCTACAAATCTTGTCTGCATCACAAACTCGTCATCCTCCAGTAACTTGGCATTCATTGGTACCTCTTTTGCCGGCCTAGTGTTGAAGATATCATTCTCACTCCAATCCGCAAACCCAACAGCTTTTGCAAAAGTTTCAGATATTTCCTCTTGAACAGCCATCTTGTTCACTTGCCTACTTGTATTAGATTCAGTGACATATCCATCAGACTGTGCTAAATTCTCAACATGCTCCAATCCCTCATCAACATCTTTATATAAGAAGTTACCACTAGATGCAGTGTCCAGAAGCATTCTGATCTTTTGTTGGGCGCCTCTGTAGAGAGTAGAGAGCAGAGAGGCTTGTGAGAAGCCATGGTGAGGGCGTTGCAGTGTGTACTTGAATCTTTCACAAGCTTCACCAAAGGTTTCATTGTTTCTCTGTGCAAATCCTGAAACCTCATTCCTGATCCTAGAATTCCTTGAAGTAGAGAAGAACTTTGCTAAAAATGCTGTCTTGCACTCATCCCAACTTGCGATGCTTCCTTGGGGTAAGTTTTTCTCTCACTGGTGTGCCTCGTCTCCAAGAGAGAAAGGGAACAACCTGAGCTTGAAGCCATCTTTGCTGACCCCATTTATCTTTGTAAGGGAGCAAAGTCTGTCAAAATTATCCAGGTGATCCAATGGGTCTTCAAGTGGCAACCCATGAAACTTACTGCCCTGAACCATTGAAATCAATCCAGACTTGATTTCAAAGCTGTTTTTTTGCACTGCAAGTGGAATGATCCCAGTTCTGTTATTATAGGCATTTAGTCTATCTTCTGCGCTAATTGGTCTTGCTGCTCTTGGAACCAGAGTTCAAACCGCTTAACACTACCCTTTTAACCCAAAACTCCTATCCTAGAATCAAGCTCAAGATGCAAGCTGATGTCTGCAAGAGAGCTTATTATTGCCAGCCTTATTCCTAACACTTTTTGCCAAGACAAAATCAAAAATGTTATGCAAAGGCCTCACAGCTCTCAAGATAGTGTTTAGGCTCAAAAGGAGGTTTTGGTTAAGGGAGTGGATTAACTGTCCCATAAGTATGAGGATCAGCTATTTCGATCAACAAGAGTGGTAGAAAGGAAAAAGATGATCCAAATATGTATATGGTAGCCATGAATTCACTTTTCAATGCAGAAGACATGATAATTAAAAGTTCAAATGAAAGTTCAAGTCGATATAGTTGATTTTCAGAGAACAAATGCTTTCAGTATGAGATGAGATGATCAAAATTAGCATTCCAAGCATGGTTCAGTCTTAACTTCTAGCTTTCTTATGATGCATCAAACAACTAATCACTTAAACACTGAAATCATCTTTAAACTCTAAGCACTTTACAAGGAAATTTCATCATTATGCCCTATGCAAATGCAATCCAACCTATATGTAAACATTAGACTCAATCCTAAGAGAATGCAAAACATGCAAAAATATTCAATTTTTCTGATTTTTTTGTGTTTTTCTATGCCTTAGATGAATGCATGATATGCATGTGACTCAAGATGAAAGAAAATGAAAAACTAAGAAAAAAAAATACAAAGTCAAACCCCAAATCTCTCCCCCACACTTAAATTACACAGTCTCTTGTGTAATGAAAGCAATGAGAGAGAGAAGCAACAAAATATAATACAGAATTGAAAAAAAAATGCAATGGTATAAACAATGAGTAGGATGTGGTACCTTGTTTAATAAGTGGAGTGGTGGGAGTATCCAGAGGTCTGAGGAGACTTGCTAGCTCTCCTCTTGTTCCTCCTTTCATAAGTCCTTGAAGATGGCGCTGCTTCTTGTGATGGGGGAATCCAGCTTGACCATAACTGCTCAGCTTGAGAAGAAGTACCTTGATGACCCCATTGCCATGTTTGTTGAACTTCAGAAGGGATGTGAGTTGGCGCTTCCCATGCTGATGGAATATGGGTCCTTGGCTCATATGATGAAGCCCTTGGTTGTGCCCTTGTCCCCCATTGATCACTTGGCTGTGCATGAAAGGAATGTCTTCCATGGGGGTTCCAAACAGCCTCCTCTTCATCAGTTCGGTCAGCTTGTGGCATAGGCTCTTCTTGATGAGAAGTGTGCTCATGAGTGTGGCTCTGATGGGAAGCTCCTGCTGATGTAGCTTTGTTCTTCTTGAACTTCCCTTTAACCATTTTCACCAACCTCTTAATGGCTTTATCTTGCCACTTACACCATTTTTGAAGGGTGTTGATGTGTTCATGTGCAGACTTCTGATGAGGACCTCCAACCGGTTACGGTACCCATCATGTACGAGCCACCAAGAACACGTTCGGGCACAAGGATCATTAGGGAAGAGTTCAACAAAGCAGTGGAGAACTTTCTCAACCGTAGGCAAACAGATGATATCAACACTCTTCTCAAGCGGCTATGCATGACGGGTTAGGACGATGACATTGAACGGGACGAGGCAAGACGGTATGATGACATGGGACGGGACGGTACAGGACAATATGACTGCATTACGGACCATCCTCATACCACGGATGACCGCATTACGTACCAGCCATGTACCACGGACGAAGACATTACGGCACGAGTGACCGGAGGACACGACGATCAAATGGGCCAACACTTAGGTGATTTTCAAGATGATCAAAGCCCAGCCAAGATCAAGAGAGAGCTCAGCTTAGATGAATGTCCCCTTTTCAAAGACAGCCTTGGCCCAACTCTTCTCATC